ATATATATTCGTCGGGATGCTAAAACAAGACCTTGGGAACTTCTGCTATATGACCTTTACACATTCTCTAAATAGTCTTAGTGGAGCGAGTAAATGGAATTCCCGAAGCCTCTCGACTTTTTAAGACCTTAACACATTCTATTATATTTGAATTTTTTCAGAGGAGAATATATGATTCTAACATGTGGAATTTATAATCTTGAAGTTAGGGGACTAGGTATATTTATAACCTACAACAAGGACCCTGAGGAGATGCTAAATATGAGCTTTCCAAATATGGGCTTAACTGTGGGTCAAACCTACTCTGCTCATACTTGAAAAACAGAACATTCCACTAGAGTAGTATTATTACACTCTCAATTTAGCTCCGAATTACAATTAATTCGTCTTCGGCTTAGTTGCTCCATTTACCTCCCCATGTTATGGCGTCCATTGATTAATTTAACTACTGAAAATATAATTAATCAGCTTCTTCAACCGAAAATAGTATCCTCAATGCTTTAATTATTTTGAAAATTAATCCGACAACCAGGCTTGACACAATAATCCTTTTTTAGCTCATTAAGTGGACGTCATCAACCCAGTGAACCGGGACACAGTTACCGTCAACAATCTTAATGGTACATCATGCACTCAACATTATTTACCAAAATATAAAGTATGTCAACCTAACAAAATAAGTCTCACTTGTAGTAAACCAAATAAATAAGTACATATGCCTATTAATTGTCTTATGTGTTAAGAGAATGCAATTATTACTGAGATCTTGATTATTTACTTGGTCAGTATAAAATAATCTTATCTTTCTGTAGGTCTGTTTATACATCCGAATATGTACTAGTGTAATTCGTTAGTCATAGATCAACTAACTCAAAATTAACACTACATCCTTTCATGACAGTTAGTTCAATCATATATGGGTTGTGAACAAATGTTTATATTTTACAAGGCTCTAATAATATGATCTTTCTATTCGACCCATTTCAAACCATATTATATATACTGTAAAATAAAAGAACTACGTTTGCATAGATAAATAAACTACAAACATACACTTGACTAAAGACATGAACCTCATTCAAAATGGAATTGTGAGTAGCACAAAACTGAGGTTCTATAGTATACTTCACCAATCTCCAACTTATGCTATAAAGCTCTCGACGTTTCTAAGTGTACACTCTTTCAATCTTTTTTTCAAAGAACTGTTGTCCTAACTACATACTTCGAACTCCCAATCCTTAATCATAACCCTCACCCGCTTTCACCAGGAAGCCACTTCTAAAAGGAACTACTATGTCTCTACTGACGTAACTAGACGACAAAACATCCACCTCTTTGTGATTATTCGCAACGAGTCGTACTAGCTCTATGTGCTCACGTGCCTTATGAGTTTGTGATTCCTTCAAGTTTGCAACTACATCAGCTGTCATCACAATAAAATTGTGATATGACTTGGGCAAACCAGAGTTTCACATCCTAGTCCAATAGAGGCTCTCGGAGTCAAACCTCTTCCGTCGCTTTTTCTTCAGCCTGCGACATACTGAGTTTTCATGGTAGAATCCATAAATTTTTTACTGCTTGACATTTTTCAAAAATATTGGCTCCACCTCACAAGTAAACACAAATTCCGAGGTAGATTTTACTTATTGTTCACGTCTGATTAGAAATTAGAATCCTTTGTAACCCATAAGTTGCATATGGTTTGTTTGGTAAACCAACATATTATCCTTAGTCCAGTTACAACAGTTGACTATATGTTTTACAATGAACAATGTGCCCGTTCTAGGATTAGTTTGATATCTACTAAGTATGCCCATGACAATACTGGATATCAGGCTTTATTTATTTCATAGCATACACTAGGCTTCCTATTGCCAAGAATAAGGAACTCCCACTGTGTCTCTCATCTCCTTAGACTTCTCTTACAGGGAAATTTATACGTATGGACTCTATGTAAGAAATATTTACATATATACGTGCAATAGAAAATTTAATCAAAATGTAACTTCAATGTGGTTTTTATTTCACATCTACGATATTACTCTCTCTCTCTCTCTCTCTCCTGCTGATCGATTTCTCTCTCTATTTATTGAAGTTTGAAAATGCAATCAATTTCGGCGGAAACTACGCAAATAAAACGGATATTTAAAAAAATTATCAAATATGATACCTACAATTCAGGGTTACGAATTCATTTCAAACGGGATTTTCTGTTCATCGACCTCGTTCAGTTGAAAAAAAAATTGTCCATCTAGATGAAAAAAAACACCGATCAGGCTGGGAAAGAAAATAGTCGGGCTGGGAAAAGAAAACAATTGTTATTCGTGAAATTTTCACTAATATATATATTATATATATACATCAGATAAACATGTCCTGACATATTCAAAACATATACTATATATATACATCAGAAAAAATTTATTCGTGAAATTTTTACTAGTATATATATACTATATATATATCAAATACGTCCTGACAGATGCAAAACATAAACTATATATATACAAAACATGTACTATATATATACAACAAATAATGAGAGCAAAATCAAAAAATACGTTTAATTATACATAAGATAATCAATATATAAACATTCCTGAAACAA